CCGCTGGTTGGGTATAATCCCCTCCTGTTGACCCGTGTGTCCAGCAGCAGCTGGCTGCCAGGCCCAGCTGGGTCTTATGGACACAAGTGGCCACAAAAGCATGTTCCCTTTGGGACTTCCCTTCCCTTCGCCCTGAGTCAGGTGTGGAGGGGACTGGGGTCCTACTTGGGGGCACAACAGCAAGGCAAACATTGTGTGCAATCTTGCCACCCACAGTTCGTATGAGTGCCAACAGATGAAAGGGAGCGTTTTGAGAGCAGCTGAGAAAACGTGCCCCCCCTCTCCCCCTGCAAACTTCCGCCCCGAGGGCCTCGCAGCCTCTGCAGTGTGAACTCTGCCGCTGTGATCGGGCAGGTTTGCAAGGGGACAAGATGTCCCCACCGGCATCTAGGACCTTATGCAGCCTGTTTACACTGGCTGATGCTGTTCTTGAAACAGGAATTCTAGGGGTAACAGAGGGCAGGTTTAGGACATTTTAGAAATTAAGGGGACCATGGAGGAAGCACAGGGCTGCAGAGCAGCAGAAGGTATATTTCCATAGAATGGGGGAGCTGAAACGCTGCAACAGGTGCATTTCCATAGAATGAGGAGCTGGGAACAGCGGAAGGTCTATATTTACAAAATAGAGGGCAGGAGCCCCTCATCCACAAGGAGAAGAAGAAAGCCCAGAGGGAATAAGGAGACAATAAGGAAGGAGGGGAGAGAACCTCATGTGAGGTTCAACCTTTGAGCCCAGGAGTTACTGTAGTAACCAGTCCAAGCGAATAGTGACCGATCAGAGGGGATATCAAGGCACAAAGATCTGCAGCCTTTACAAGGTGTACCGGTTAATAATGCGGATTTTGCAAACTCCGCATTATTAGCCGGTACACCTATGTATAAGCCGCAGGGAAAAGGAACTCCGTGGGGGCCCTTTCCTCCTCCCCACGTTGGAGTCTGTACTTGTTCTTCAATAAACCTCCACCTTTGCTCTACCACCCTCTGTCCGTGGATTCATTCTTCGGCCCTGGCGGACAAAGAATCCGGGTTCCAGTTCAAAAATTCCGTATCAGTCTGTTGGGGAAATTGACCCATTTCCCACCTGAGAGCCGGGAGCCACGGCTCTCAAACCTATTTGGGCATCGGAACCATTTGGGCTGCTTGTTACACCCCAGACTCTAGCCCCGCCTCCCCGCTTTCTCATTCCGTTTCCAGATCCTCGCTGACCGTTTGTAGTTCAAATCCTCGCCTCTAACAGGGCCACCAGCTAGTCAGCCAAAAATCGGGGACCACAGTGTCACCCTGGAAAATGCTGGTGACAGTGGTCATTAGAAACCGGCTGTGATGGGCCAGGAAGCTAACTATGTGGTCAGGACTCTCTTTGGGCCCAAGAGAGACCTCCTTGTAGCAGTAACAGCTCCGAACCACAAGAGGGCGACGTTGTCACAGAGTTCCAGCACCTGAGCCCTCTGGTTAATTCAATAGCCCAAGAACCTGTTGCAAAGGGATTCTTTCTTTTATGTGTTCAAGGGTTTAAGGAAAACCACAGCTGGCACGACGAGGCCCTAGGATTATGGGGGCTGTAAAAATGAAGTGCAGGGAGGAGCAAGAAGAAAGCCAACGGAGAAATGGATTCGGAAGGAAGTGTGAGCGTTTGGATGGTTTGAGGAGGCTCTTGCTATTCCCACGTGGGAGGAACACATGTGGGCCTGTTCCCATTCCTGTTACACAGGAGCAGTTGCACCAAATAAGCTCTCCCGTCGAATCTCTGGTTTCGGGGACCAATATTCTGCTCATCATTTTAGGGCTTCAACTGGGGGGAAATTGGTGTTTATTGAGGAGGGTTATATAGACATTATGTTCACGTAACGAAAAAAAAATCAGATGGAAAGTTTAGTTTATCCATTGAGAAACCTCGCTAACGTCTTTTTCAACTAACCGCTTAAGGGTTTCGCTTTTATTTCCTGTGCATTCCTGTCGTGTTTTGTTATAAAGGGTGTCTCAAAATTCACACAAGATTCGAATTTTGCGTGAGCATTAACAACAACAAAAAAATAAAAGCCTAATTTTACTTGGTTTATTGAATCAGATTCTAATATCTGTTGCCCTTCGATTTCAATCCTTTCAATTTGATAAGCATTACCAAGTACCAGTTATGGCCCAGGAGCAGGGACAGTGAAGACCAATGAAGACCACGGCTTTGCGTATGTGCCAGCAAAGTCATGGAGGCCGTTTACCCGATGTGCTATTCCATACATAACCCTATGCTGTATACTTTATAAATCAATAAAAAATTTACAATTTTTAATTAAAAACCTGTTTTCTATCATAATTACTTCTTGCGTGAATTTTGGGACACCCTATAAAAACACTAGCAAACATCTCTGCTTCCTGTTCCGCACCATGCAGTACCCTTTCGCACCCACAAGAGGGCGCGCTTCTTGCTCCCGGGTTTATGTCTGCAGGTGCTTCGTTCTTTGAAGGATGCTCCCTCACTTATTCCTCTCTTCCTCTATAAATGGACGCTTGGACCTAATCTTTTACTGTCACAAACAACATAGCAAAGGACAAATAACCTTGTCCAAGTGTCATTTTGTGCTGGTAAGACTGGAGGGAAATTCCCAGAAGCGGGATGGCTGGGTCCAAGGTAAATTCACTTGTTGACGGTCATATTCCCCGTCAGGGCACATGCCCGGGTTGTGGGCTCGATCCCCAATAAGGGGCCTGCAGGAGGCAGCTGATCCATGATTCTCTCTCATCATTGATGTTTCTCTTTTTCCCTTCCTCTCTGAGATCAATACAAAGGTATGTTTTAAAAAATAAACGCATTTTAAACACACACAAGAACAAAGTACCTTGAAATGCTATATTGAGCTACAGTACATGTGTGTTTGTGTATGTGCACAGTGTGACAGATGGCTTAACTGCCACTCAATAGAGTTCGAGTTGCCAGCGTGTATGGGTGGTGGTCTCTCATTTCAGTTCCTAGTATATTGCTCTATGGTCCCCTTCTTTCTAGCCTGGCTGGTCCCTTTGTCCCTGGAACCAGCACGCCATCCATCTCACCTCGCTCGCCTACAACCCTAGTTATTTCAGTGAACGACTGCTCAGTACAGCTGCTCTGGTGCTGTTTGCAAACACAGGACAAAGGCAGCATCCAGAACTCCGTCACTGCCCATGAGAGACTGTGATTGGCCCAGGTTCGTCTTTTTTTTTGTTTAATCCTCACCTGAGGATATTTTTCCATTGATTTTTATTTATTAACAATTTTTTTTTAATTTATTGATTTCAGGAGGAAGAGAGGGAGAGACAGAAACATCAATGCTAAGAGAAAATCATGCACCGGCTGCCTCCTGCACGCCCCCTACTGGGGATCGAGCCTGCAACCTGGACATGTGCCCTTGGCTGGAATCGAACCTGGGACCCTTCAGTCCGCAGGTCAACGCTCTATCCACTGAGTCAAACCACGTAGGGCTCCATTGATTTTTAAACAGAGAGGCAGGGACGGGGAGAGACAGAAAAACATCAGTTGGTTGCCTCTTGCACTCCCCCCAACCAGGGTGGGGGATCAAGCCTACAACTGAGGTATGTGCCCTTGACCGGAATCGAACCTGGGCCCCTTCAGTCCAAGGGCTGATGCTCTACCCACTGAGCCACACCAGCCAGGGCCCCAGTTTGTCCTTTACAGCCCTACCCTCGCTGTAGCCTCAAGGTGGGGGGAGTGCATCTCCCGGCCTTTGATCTGGGTGGCCCTGGTGGCTTCCTCTGGTCAATGGCAAGAGGCATTGTGTCCACGGTGAGCACAGGCCTAAGAAACCCGAGTCATTCCCTCTGTGCGTGGCCGTCAACCAGCTTGTGCAGGAGAAAGAAACAGCTGAGAGCAAACAGCGACTGCCGTTAACACCCAGTTTTATTAAGGTCTAAACATCCAAACATTTTACAGGGGACGGAGGCCTACTCAGAAACGAGGCCTCCTGCGTTTCCAGCTTAAAGGCGTACACACACACACACACACACACACTGCGCGCGCAGTCCAGGCAGCAGGAGTCTCTGTTTTTACTGTAAGAATCAGGCATTGAGATCTCCGAGTGTGTATTAGAAACGACTGCAGCAGTCGGAGCCCTTCAGCGAAGCTCGACACTGTGATTCCACGTTCAAGGCAGGACTTGTCCCCGGGGGCAGGGCCCCTCGCCCCGTGGACACCGGCCCCGCGGACACTCAGGACCCGTTGGCTACGACGTCTTCCTCCATCTCCTCCTCCCCGTCGTTGCTGGGGCCTGAGGAGACACAAAGCCAGGGCCACAGGGTTTCAGGGACAGAGCTGCTCGGGGCGAGCGCCTGGCTGAGGCCCAGCGTGCAGGCCCAGGACAGGGCACCCCGCCCAGCAGCCCCTGCCAGAGGCGCTTCCGGTCAGAGACCAGCTGTCGCCCGCAGGGACTGAAAGGGACGGTCAGATCCCAAAGGAAAAGATGGCAGAGGTGTTTGTTTCACTGCGGACATCCTTAAGCGAGACGTGAGCAAGTAACGCCTGGGTTTGGACCTCACAACCCCCAGGGGCCCCAGGACACCCCGTGAGAACCAGCGTCTCCTGAAAGGCTTACTCGCCTTTAGCTTCAGCTCCAACAGTCCTTCCAGCCGCCCGCCCAGCTAGGGCCCGTCAGTGCAGCCAACCTGGCAGCGCGCAGCACTTGACTTTCCACTTGACACCCCGTGCCCAATTCGCCCGACAGAGCTGCCACTCAGGTACCAGAGTACCCGGTGCTAAGGGCTACCTGTAAGCACCTTACTCAGTCCTCCCACAGGCCTTTGAGCCCTGGCCGGTGTGGCTCAGTGGCTAGAGCATCAGCCTGCAGACTGGAGGGTCCTGCGTTCAATTCCGGTCAAGGGCATGACCTTAGTTGCAGGCTCCATCCCCAGCCCGGGCCCTGGACAGGGCTCCAGTGGAAGGCAACCAATTGACATGTCTCTCACATCAATGTTTCTCTCTCTCTATCTCTCCCTCCCTCCCTCTCTCTCTAAAAATCAATGGAAAAATATCCTTGGCTGAGGATTAACAAACAAAAAAACAAAACAAAACAAAACCACACCAACACCCTCTGAGGTTGGCACTGTTACCACCTCAGGTTTAAAGATGAGAAGGATTCAAGGTTAAGTGGGGACTTAGAAATTCACTGAGGACAGAGCTGGGAGGCTAAGACCTGGGCTTCGTACCCGTGTTCCAATTACTAAACCATCCTATACACACAGCGGTCAAGTCCACACTGTCCTCTCATGTTCATGTCACTCCACGGCTATGAAATACTGTTTGCATCACTGTTTCCATAGAAAAACCCCAGGGCCTGGCCGGTGTGGCTCAGTTGAGCATCAGCCTATGAACCAGGAGGTCATGGTTTGATTCCTGGGCAGGACACATGCCCGGGTTGTGGGCTCCATCCCCAGTGTGGGGTGGGCAGGAGGCAGCCGATCCATGATTCTCTTTCATCATGGATGTTTCTCTCTCTCTCTCTCTGAAATCAACAAAAGTATACATTACAAAAAGAGAGAGAGAAAAACCCCAGGGCCCTCTGACACAATATTCTACATCAGATCACTTCCCCTCCAAGAGCATCTACAGCAGTGGTTCTCAACCTTCCTAATGCCGCCACCCTTTCATACAGTTCCTCATGTTGTGGGGACCCCCAATTTCATTGTTACAAATTGAACATAAGAGGGCCTGGTCGGTGTGGCTCAGTTGAGCATCAACCTATGAACCAGGAGATCAGAATTCGATTCCCGGTCAGGGCACAGGCCCGGGTTGCAGGCTCCATCCCCTGTGTGGGGCGTGCAGGAGGCAGCTGATCCATGATTCTCTTTCATCATGGATGTTTCATTCTCTCTCTCTCTTCCTCTCTGAAGTCAACAAAAGTATACATTACAAAGAGAGAGAAAAACCCAGGGCCCTCTGACACAATATTCTACATCAGATCGCTTCCCCTCCAAGAGCATCTAAAGCAGCGGT